TGTTCGGACAACTCTTGGAAGTTGCGATGTCGAAAAAGTGCACGCCGTTGTGGCGCGAAGCACATTTTGAAGTCAAAATGTACAAAACACACCATGTTCGGACCACTTTTGGAAGTTGCGGTGTCGAAAAAGTGCACGCCGTTGTGGCGCGAAGCACATTTCGAAGTCAAAACGTGAAAAACACCAGGGGTGTTCAGATGTGCTCTCGCGTGGCAGGCGCAAGGGATTGTGGACCTTGTTAAAAGTGAGCAATACGTGAAGGTTTTGTAGCATTTCCAAAAACGATGGCAAGCGTGGGACATTTGAAGAGGATCTGCAAAGATGCATTTTCCGCGGCAGGCGCAGTACAAGAGACATGTTTATCAGAGATGTTAGGAGGTCCGGGCGCTGATTTCCTCAGAGGGGTTGCATTTTGGAGCATCAGATCTTCAGGTTTGCTGAGATGATTTTGCGTGACAGGTGCAGCACTTCGTATGACCCGGTATCACTTTTTCGTGGCAGGCGCAATAGTTTAGACGGAGTCGAAAAATCGCAAAACGCATTGGCACGAGGCCGTCAGCTCTGCGCTCAACTTTCCATTTTCGAAGGAAGTCTCGCAGAATTGCTTCGTTTTTGATGTTGTCAACTTGAAAAATGGAGTCTAGCAGAATTGCTTCGTTTTTCCCGAGAGCGTCTGAGCGCAGGGTTCTTCCAATAGTGGGGGTCTGTATCTCATCTTCTCATCTTCACACCTTCTCTCACACCTTCTCATCCTCACCTTCTCATCTTCACACCTTCACATCTTCACATCTTCTCTCACACCTTCTCATCTTCACATCTGCTCATCTTCACATCTTCTCTCACACCTTCTCATCTTCACATCTGCTCATCTTCACATCTTCTCATCTTCACATCTTCTCATCTTCACACCTTCTCATCTTCACATCTGCTCATCTTCACATCTGCTCCTCTTCACATCTGCTCCTCTTCACATCTGCTCCTCTTCACACCTTCTCTCACACCTTCTCATCTTCACACCTTCTCATCTTCACACCTTCTCATCTTCACACCTTCTCATCTTCACACCTTCTCTCACACCTTCTCATCTTCACATCTTCTCTCTCTCTCACTCTCTCTCCTCTTTCCTCTCTCCTTTCTCTCTCTCCTTTCTCTCTCTCCTTTCTCTCTCCCTTTTCTCTTTCTCGCCTTCTTTATCTTTCTCTCTTTAGGCCGAGGGTGGTGCCGGCGGGGAGTCACGAAACGTGAACCCTTTCGCACGAAATGAGGGTCGATCGGCGAAAACTGAGGTAAAATTGCGATTTTACTTGTGCCGGACTTGTCCTGGAGCAACCCTTTCGCACGAAATGAGGGGCGCTCGTCAAAAACTGAGGAAAAATTGCGATTTTACGTGTCTGTGTGTAAAAGCGTCCGTGTGTAAAAGTGTTAGTGTGTAAAAGCGTCTGTGTGTAAAAACTTTGGTGTGTAAAAGCGTCTGTGTGTAAACGCGTCTGTGTGTGTGTAAAAGCGTCTGTGTGTAAAAGTGTTTGTGTGTAAACGCGTCTGTGTGTAAAAGCGTTAGTGTGTAAAAGCGTCTGTGTGTAAAAGCGTCTGTGTGTAACTGTGTCTAAAAGCGTCTGTGTGTAAAAGGGTCTGTGTGTAAAAGTTTTTGTGTGTAAAAGTGTTAGTGTGTAAACGCGTCTGTGTGTAAAAGCGTCTGTGTGTAAAAGCGTCTGTGTGTAAAAGCGTCTGCGTGTAAAAGCTTCTGCGTGTAAAAGCGTCTATGTGTAAAAGTGTTTGTCTGTAAAAGTGTTTGTATGTACAAGTGTTTGTGTGTAAAAGTGCCTGTGTGTGTCAAAGCGTCTATGTGTAAAAGCTTCTGTGTGACTGTGTGTAAAAGTTTTTGTGTGTAAAAGCGTCTGCGTGTAAATGCTTCTGTGTGTAAAAGCGTATGTCTGTAAAAGGCTCTTTGTTAAAAGTGTCTGTGCGTAAAAGTGTCTGTGTATAAAAGTGTCTGTGTGTAAAAGCATCTGTGTAAAAGCGTATGTCTGTAAAAGCTTCTGTATGTAAAAGCTTCTGTGGGTAAAAGCTTTGTATGTAAAAGTGTCTGTGTAAAAGTGTCTGTGTGTAAAAGTGTCTGTGTGTAAAAGCGTCTGTGTAAAAGCGTCTGTATGTAAAAGCTTCTGTGGGTAAAAGCTTTGTGTGTAAAAGGGTCTGTGCGTAAAAGGGTCTGTATGTAAAAGCGTCTGTGTGTAAAAGCTTTTGTGTGTAAAAGTGTTTGCGATACAAACTATTGTCTTGCACTTCTGCTATTTTGTCTTAAAACTCCTCTTCTCGACTGCATATAACACATCTTTAGTATATTGTTTCTAATATGGTGTCTCCATACTAACAAGAGAAGACCCTGCTCCTCTACGCTCTCGGGCCATCCGTCGTCTAGTTGATGTTGTCAAGTGCAAACAATGAGGAAGTCTCGCTGAATTGCTGCGCTTTTGATGTTGTCAAGTTCAAAAACTGAGGAAGTCTCGCAAAATAGCTGCAACTTCAAGCTTGCAGATAGACAGACAGACAGATAGACAGATAGACAGGTAGACAGACAGATAGATAGATAGATAGGTAATTAGGTAATTAGGTAATTAGGTAATTAGGTAATTAGGTAATTAGGTAATTAGGTAATTAGGTAATTAGGTAATTAGGTAATTAGGTAATCAGGTAATAGGTAATTAGGTAATTAGGTAATTAGGTAAGTAGGTAAGTAGGTAAGTAGGTAAAGAAAGCGCGAGAGAGAGAGAGAGAGAGAGAGAGAGATAGACAGACAGACAGATAGACAGATAGACAGATAGACAGATAGACAGATAGACAGATAGATAGATAGATACACAGATAGATACACAGATAGATACACAGATAGATACACAGATAGATACACAGATAGATACACAGATAGATACACAGATAGATAGGTAGACAGGTAGGCAGGTAGGCAGGTAGGTAGATAGTCAGAGAAAGAGAAGGAAAAAAGAGAAAGAGAGGAGACCTCAACCACCTTTCGGTCCATCGGTGGCTTCGCTCTGCCATCCGCGATTCACAACCACCAACCTCTCCTATAGGTTTCCTATTTTTGAAACTTCCGCCACTGCCTTGTGCAGTACTAAGGTTTATACAAAAAAATGCTATATATTATATACATAGTATATTAAATATATAAAATTCAATATTATGTATTCTCCAGGAAGTTTAGAAGTCAAACTTCCGACAATATGGACAGATGAGAAGCAGAGGTGGTAAGAGTCAAAGGAGAGAAGAGAAGAGAAGAGAAGAGAAGAGAAGAGAAGAGAAGAAAGAAAATCAAAAAGAGAAAATCTCAGAAAGAAGATCCGGGCGCGCGAAAAGGTAGCAAAGTCGCGAAACACTGTGTTTTTCCAATGAATTGTGGCTCCGGAAGGTCGAAAAGTAGGCTCGCTAAAGTGGCGGGTGCGGAGCCAGCTGGCCAGATGAGAGATGAAACTTGCACGCCGTTGTGGCGCGAAGCACATTTCGAAGTCAAAATGTACAAAACACACCATGTTCGGACCAGTTTTGGAAGTTGAGATGTCGAAAAAGTGCACGCCGTTGTGGCGCGAAGCACATTTCGAAGTCAAAACGTTAAAAACACCAGGGGTGTTCAGATGTGCTCTCGCGTGGCAGGCGCAAGGGATTGTGGACCTTGTTAAAAGTGAGCAATACGTGAAGGTTTTGTAGCATTTCCAAAAACGATGGCAAGCGTGGGACATTTGAAGAGGATCTGCAAAGATGCATTTTCCGCGGCAGGCGCAGTACAAGAGACATGTTTATCAGAGATGTTAGGAGGTCCGGGCGCTGATTTCCTCAGAGGGGTTGCATTTTGGAGCATCAGATCTTCAGGTTTGCTGAGATGATTTTGCGTGACAGGTGCAGCACTTCATATGACCCGGTATCACTTTTTCGTGGCAGGCGCAATAGTTTAGACAGGTGGAGTCGAAAAATCGCAAAACGCATTGGCACGAGGCCGTCAGCTCTGCACTCAACTTTTCATTTTCGAAGGAAGTCTCGCAGAATTGCTTCGTTTTTGATGTTGTCAATTGTCAACTTAGAAAATGAGGAAGTCTCGAAGAATTGCTTCAAGTGTAGCACCAATGATGGTGAAATATTCGACAGTTGGAGTGATCTTTGACGGTACGAGTAGCATCAATGATGTTAGAAATGCAAAAGAAGACCTTGAAACGTAGCATCAATGATAGCAGAAAATTGAAGAGAAGACGTTGGAGTGTTGCATGTTTGAAAACCGAAGAGAAGATCTTGAAGCGTAGCATCAGTGATTGTGGGTGGCAGACACTTTCTGTGAGGACCCAATTCCTCTGAGCATCTGCTCCTAGAAGCTGTTCCCCGCCACGCCTTTTACCCCTTTTCGTTTCACGCTTTTTGTTCCAACATCTCTGTTTCGTTTCAATACCCTTTTCGTTTTAGAGTAAGCTCCTTTCCCTTTCGTTTTCCACACGTCCTTTCATTTTGAAGCCTCCTCTTTAAGTTTCTACTTTAGGTCCTGCCTCTTCTGCTTGAGGGCACACCTTTTCGTTTCAACTTCTCTGCGTTTCGTTTCAAAACACCCCTTGTCGATTCAAAGCAAGCTCCTTTCCCTGTCGTTTTCCACACATCCTTTCGTTTTGAAACCTGTATACATTTATTTGTTGATTAATGTACGTATGTACGTATGCTATGTACGTATGTACGTACGTATGTACGTACGTACATACGCACGTACGTATGTAGTATGTATGTATGTAAGTATGCATGGGGCTCCCAGAGGTTGTCAGTTCTTAGCTCACAAATTGCAGGCGGCCAACAGAGATAAGTAAATACCATCGAAGAAGCTCAGTGGGGAATAGAATCAGCTCATACTGAACATCCATAAGCCGTCGTAAACCACGATGAACATCAATAAACCGGGTTTTACCAACAATTTTCAGCCACTTTGCCAGCAAGGTAATGGTGTTCCGAGCCAAGGCCTGGTCTGGACTGCTGGAAGGCTTGGGCAAACATGCTGGGCCTGGCTGGGGAACTCGATGATAAACCAGTAACCAAGGGGGGTTCAATGACTTATCAGCAAGGGGGGTGGCCATTGATCAGAGTTCATCAATCATAAATTGATTATTTTAGCCGCTGGTAATGAAACCATGGCTTTCGGGAAAATGTCCCATTTAGTTTGATGATGTGCCCATTTCAATGCCAATTTATAATAGCAAATTTCCCGTTGCCATGTTTGATTAGCAAATTTGCCAGATGAAAATGGTGCTCAAACATCTGGCAGGAGACCAAGGAACACAGCAAAATCACTGGGGCATTCTGAAGTAAATACTCAGGTCTTCTAAGATGCTGTCTGCCCAGCAGCAGCAGGTGCTGCCCCAAAGGCAGAACCTCCAGCCTCAGCATGCAACATCATCCAACATTATCTAGTATATCTAGTGAATCTAGTTTCAACTTTCATCAGCCCGTCAGCTTTCGAAAAATGAACAAAAAACTGCTCAGATCCCAACTCCGAAGATGTTCCCGGCAGCCCCAAAGGCGCTTCCTCCAGTGGTTCCGAAGGCGGAAGCCCCAGCTGAGCTGCCACTGGTGGCTCCAAAGATGCTTCCGGAGGATGCACCGAAGATGCTACCAGCTGACCCAGCACTGGCGCTACCAGCTGAAGCACCAGCTGAAGCACCAAAAATGCTGCTGGAACCACTAGAACTACCGGAAGCACTGGATGCTGCGAAGATCTGAGACCCACCAGAAGACGCTGGAGCACTTCCAAACCTCAGGCTTGCAATTCTCAAAGAATCTCATCTGACGTAACCAGAGGGGTTGCCACTATTCTAGGGGTGCCCCTTTTCATCCGTGGTTCTCCCATCCAAAGTTACCAATAACTTGGATGTTCGGATCCTTGGGATCCCATGACTATCCATAAGGATCCATGACCCAGGAAGCCCCCAAATGAGTTGAGTCGTCCACATGCAGCCGCCGGTGGCAGAGCCTCCGCTGGCCTTGGAACCGCGATGAATGAAATAGATATTCCATAAATGGGGGATCCCCACAATAGTTGATTTATAATGGAAAATCCTACTAAAATGGATGATTTAGGCGGGGTGCCCCTATTTCAGGAAACCTCCATATGTTCGAAAGATGTTCACCTGAACCTGCCTGGCTGAGTTGCTCACTACCGGAGCTACTCCGCGGAAGGTCTCTCGGCCTGGGCTCACACAAGAGCAACGTGCAGGAAGAGAGAAGTCAATGTGGCCGTGAAACAGCCGAGAGCTTCTGCAAAATGTTCTTTTCTTGCCTGTCGAAATGCAACATACACGCTTTGCGTGCTGCTTGCTCTATGATCATTCACCACTAAAAGCTATTGCAAATGCTTTGTACAAATATGACCCTTCAGAGATTTGGCGAACCTTGGCAAAGTTTTATCAAGATGCAGCCATGCAAACAAGCACTTTCACAAACGCATTTTTCAAATATTCACGATGAGGGGCTTGAAGTTTTGGCCAAATGCCTGCCAGTCCCCGAAAGTCTCGAGCAGACCTGATATGAAATCATGAAGCAAGTCCGAAAAAGTGGGCCCTGGGCACCGTTTCCTGTAATCCGCCGACCCCTGCCATTGCCATTCAGGGGGAGGTGCCCGAGACAGCGAAGCATCATCAGCGGCCTGTTCTCCCTCATTGGCAGGCAGTTCACAAGCTGACGGCGCGTCGTATTTCCTATAGGGTTTGGTGCGGCAACTGCCATGCTGTTTCAGTGTAGCAGAACGCACGTTTTGGGGGCTTGTAGTTGGCCATTGGAACTTGTTCTATATGCATTTCAAAGCCAGCAAATGAGCTACGACCAGCTGCCCTGCGAAGGCACGGTCCGTCCCTCACCGCCATGCGGTTTCAGTGTGCGGAACGCGCGTTTTGGAGGCTTGTAGCTGGCCTTTGAAACTTGTTCTATATGCGTTTCAAAGCCAGCAAATGAGCTACGACCAGCTGCCCTGCGAAGGCACGGTCCGTCCCTCACCGCCATGCGGTTTCGGTGTGGCGGAACGCGCGTTTTGGAGGCTTGTAGCTGGCCTTTGAAGGTTGACTGACGTGCTCCAGTCCTTGCATGCTAGGCTCTTGAAAACAAGTTCTCCCTTGACCTCAGATTCCCCAGCTGCCACGCCGCGCCTTCACTTCTCCCCCCAGCACGGCTCCAAAGCGAGCAAATGAGTCACGACGAGACGGCTCGTATATCGGGTCACTCTGCATATATATATATAATATATATATATAATATATATATATATAATATATATATACACACATACATATAATCATCACATATGTTTTATTCTGTCACCATGCTCCCTTCCTTCTACTGTCATGCCCGCAAAAAAAGAGGGTCGGCGGCACCAGGGCGGTAGCCCTACCTATATATTATTTGATTTTATCACCCTTGAAATCCAACTAAAGCATACAGTATGTGCATGCCAGCTGTTCTTGGTGTCATTACATCAAAAATGATTGGGAGTACAGCAAACAGAACATGTCGCTCAGTATGTTCAGTGTTGGCCTTAAACACATCCGAGTGCGCAACGGATGGTCTGCGGGAGGTGGCTGAGATTGCACTTTCTCGTCCACACTCCGAGCGTAAACTGACTTTGTCAAGCCTTGCGATTCAATTCAAGTGAAGAGAAGTACCAGTACCATGTGTTTGTCGATTATCTCCATACTTCTCAAACCACAGCATCAATATCACAGAGTCAATGCCAAGGCGCTCGTTGCTCACTGGGGCAAGGAAATCAGGCACTAGCCTCACCATGTGAACTGAGAATGAAGCCAAACACGCGGTGAACTTGCCATGGAAACTGAGAAGCAGTTTTGCGGAAAAGGTCGTCATCAAGCCTGAAAGGTTGGATCTTCATGGTTCGATTGCCTTCAGCATCGATCCTCACTGTGATGCGGCCAAACTCATCCTGAACAGGATCTCCAGGTCAAGTTTCAGATGTCTCAGTGATCTTTCAGCAGCCAAATTGACGCAGGGAATGCTTTCCAATAGTAAGTTTGGCTCCTGCTTGCCGCTCAAGACTTTGGCACGAACCTGAAAGAATGAAGGAACTGAGGCCGCTCTGCTAGTGACACGCGACGAACGCGAGTCTGTCAACGGAGAATCCCTAAGCTGCGCACGCCATTCAGCTCATTTCTGCGACGCAAGCCGTTGATCGTCACAAAATCACCGGTGGCTGGAAGGCGGTAGTAGCTACAGCCATCTTGATTTTTTTCTGCCTCGGCTCTACCACGGCTCCCTTTGGATCTGTTGGCTCATCAAATATGTTGCAATCCACAAGGCTGAGGAAGCAACAAGCCGAGGTTCCTCATATTCACACCACACGACAGTCAGAAGGCATAGACCATTGAGTCCATTGGACAGCCACATTTGTAAAGTGTGGAGTGACGTGGAGTGTACATCAAAAATGCGAACCAAGACGCCACAAAGTTCTTGACCCAGGTCCGGAACTCTTTGTCACAAAGTCCCTGGTAGATCTGCGCTTCCCTGTCAGAGTCATGCTGATTGTATCAAGCTGGGACCTTGGCACTTGAAAGTTCAACCAGGAACCTTGCTGCAGCCAGGTCTCTTGAAAGGTTCCACCGGCATGGTTCATCGGAAGGCCCGCCGGCTTTGAGCTGAAATGAAGCCAAGAAACAGAATGCGCTGTTGATCTGGCTGAGATTTTGGAAATCACAAAGTGTGTCAATTTGGGGTTGAGAAACTGCGTTCCCGGCATGGTTGCGGAGCCTCTCTTATGCGGAAAATCCTTGGAACTTCGTGGCTGTCAGCTTTATTGTACACAATTAAAGGACCGGATAACCCCACAAGTCAACTTCTTCCTAAAATGAGCTTCAATGGTTTTAGCGGGGACAGGGAAGGAAGGAAAGACAAAGGAGGTGGTGAAAGATCGAGAAGGTAAAATGGTAGGTATGTATGTATGTATGTATGTATGTTTGTATGTATGTATGTATGTATGTTTGTATGTTTGTATGTATGTATGTATGTACGTACGTACGTACGTACGTATGTATGTATGTATGTATGTAAAATGGTAGGTATGCCACGCCTGCCACGCGAAACGAAAGTAAAAGTAGATGCGAGTTTGTGCCACGCCTGCCACGTGAAACGAAGGTGGATGTAAGGTTGTGCCACGCCTGCCACGCAAAATGGCGCGGCGTCACCGCGCGCCCAAACTACACCCAAGCGCGCCACCCCATGCCATGAGCGCCACGCCTGCCACGCGAAACGAAGGTAGATGCGAGTTTGTGCCACGCCTGCCACGTGAAACGCAAGTGGATGTAAGGTTGTGCCACGCCTGCCACGCAAAATGGCGCGGCGTCACCGCGCGCCCAAACCACACCCAAGCGCGCCACCCCATGCCATGAGTGCCACGCCTGCCACGCGAAACGAAGGTAGATGCGAGTTTGTGCCACGCCTGCCACGTGAAACGAAGGTGGATGTAAGGTTGTGCCACGCCTGCCACGCAAAATGGCGCGGCGTCACCGCGCGCCCAAACCACACCCAAGCGCGCCACCCCATGCCATGAGCGCCACGCCTGCCACGCGAAACGAAGGTAGATGCGAGTTTGTGCCACGCCTGCCACGTGAAACGCAAGTGGATGTAACGTTGTGCCACCCCATGCCATGAGTGCCACGCCTGCCACGCGAAACGAAGGTAGATGCGAGTTTGTGCCACGCCTGCCACGTGAAACGAAGGTGGATGTAACGTTGTGCCACGCCTGCCACGCAAAATGGCGCGGCGTCACCGCGCGCCCAAACCACACCCAAGCGCGCCACCCCATGCCATGAGTGCCACGCCTGCCACGCGAAACGAAGGTAGATGCGAGTTTGTGCCACGCCTGCCACGTGAAACGAAGGTGGATGTAAGGTTGTGCCACGCCTGCCACGCAAAATGGCGCGGCGTCACCGCGCGCCCAAACTACACCCAAGCGCGCCACCCCATGCCATGAGTGCCACGCCTGCCACGCGAAAGGAAGGTAGATGCGAGTTTGTGCCACGCCTGCCACGTGAAATCAAGGTGGATGAAGGTGGATGTAAGGTTGTGCCACGCCTGCCACGCAAAATGGCGCGGCGTCACGGCGCGCCCAAACCACACCCAAGCGCGCCACCCCATGCCATGAGTGCCACGCCTGCCACGCAAAACGACGGTAGATGTGAGATTGTGCCACGCCTGCCACGTGAGATCAAGGTGGATGTCAGGTTGTGCCACGCCTGCCACGTGAAACGAAGGTGGATGTCAGGTTGTGCCACGCCTGCTGTGTGTGAAGTTAGTGTGAAATTATTGTATTATTGTATGTGAAGTTTGTGTGTGTGAAGTTAGTGTGAGATTATTGTATGTTAAATTATTGTATGTTAAGTTTGTGTGTGTGAAATTATTGTATGTAAGTTAGTGTGAGATTATTGTATGTTAAATTATTGTATGTTAAGTTTGTGTGTGTGAAGTTAGTGTGAAATGATTGTATGTTAAGTTTGTGTGTGTGTGAAGTTAATGTATGTTAAGTTTGTGTGTGTGAAATTATTGTATGTTAAGTTTGTGTGTGTTAAATTATTGTTGTATGTGTAAGGAGGCGGGAGGAGGAGGAGGAGGAGAAGGAGCCCGGGATACAGAATCAAAAACAAGAACCCCACACAAAGTTGTGGGGAAAAAGAGATTTGCATGTTAGCTACGTTGCCAGTTGCCTCATACATTCTTGGACAACAAGTGTCAGACCCCAAACTCCCAAGTCATTCAAGTGCAAAACGCGGCCATAAGAGCACATTGAGCGCCAGACTCTTTCACCGATGACTGCCATGCTTCTGGCAGTCTGAGTGGTGCCCGAAGACGCCGCCGTTTTGGTGGCCTGCATGACAAGGGCAGCTGCAAAGCGGTAAAAACCTTTGCCCACCAAATGAAAGACTGACATAGACAGTTGAGCGAATCGAAGGATGGCGTTGCTTCATGTTTGATTGAAACATGATACAACAAGACAGTTCCCATCGTTTCTGCTCTGCTAAAAATGTAAGGGTGCTCTCTGCGCAAAGGGGTGTTTGTTCAGCTGGTTCAAGTCAGGCACGACAATGCTGCTAGCACCAGCTGCTAGCACCAGCTGTTGTCAACTTATAGATATATATATATGATTATATACAGTAATATTATATAATCATATAATATTCAATTGATCATGGACACTTTGGAGTATTGCGAAAATTGACCACTGCCCAGCGCCAGTCACCTGGACACAGCCAATGAAACCCCTGACAGCTGTGGCGATAAGGAAGGAGCCTCAGCTCAAAGAGTTCCACATCCCATAACTTTTGGCATATCTTCCCCAATGATTTGAGATGGTATTGTTGCTAGCTAAACCATATCAAACATGGTTAAAATCTAAATTTGTTGGGGTGGTACCCCCGGTTCATCCCATATTGTTCATCCATGTTCATCCCATATTGAACCCCAACCACTGAGCTTCACACATTCAGCAGTTCCTGAAGCACTGGCTCCGCCTCGTTGGTCGCCTCGAGATTTCACAGCCAATGGGCCAAGCTGCAGGGAAAACTCGGAAAACCATAGAAAAATTGAAAAAATATTGGAAAAATATGGGAAAACATGAGAAGCCTATGGGAAAACTATTGAAAATCGATCAGAAAAATGAAAAAAACTCACCGAACCTTTCCCCATTTGTTGGCACCAAATTCCAAACCTTCCTGTTGGACATCTAGATTTTCCATGGCCCGGGTTTGTGTAACAGTGTAACACAGGGGATCCCACAATCACAATGCACCTCCAACGTTGACCTGCAACCAAGGCGCTTCCTCGCGATGCCTTTTTCTGCTGGCAACAGTGCCTGCGACAGGGGACCGATGGGGACCCAATGTGTTGATTTGAGCCAGTTGCCTTGACCTTGTATCGCATTTTACCAGTCAATGACTTGCCAATATGATTGGCTTCAAGCGCTGTGCGACATAGGCACAGCTGGGACGGTTCCGCGTGTATCAGAAAAGTGCCATGGGCTTGTGGTTGTGATTCTCCAACCACTTTTTCCATTTTGTGGCATCATTTCGTGTCCGACCAGTGATTGGTCAACCCTTGCTCCCTACCAGTGTTAACCAACACTGGTAGCGGAGCCTACAACGGTCCGCGACCTTTGGAAGCCTAGTGAACCTTGTGGGGATTCTCCATGGCAGCCTCAATGGGAAGTGGAGACAATGTGAACCCAAAGTTGCCGACATGGGATGGGAATTGGAAGAGTTTCTCAGATTTCCGCTTTGCCTGCCTTCTGGAACTTGATGGATGCAAGGAAGAAGACAAAGCCTTACTAGCACCTCGCCTAGTGAGGAACCTGACAGGTCGTGCCTGGGAATGCTGCCTGGACATAGATCGGGAAGCCTTGAAGAAGCCCGACGGAGTGACTCACCTCTTGGACTTCTTGCGGGATCGCAGAGGCAAGCAGCAGGTTGATCTGTTGGGAGATGCTTTGCAACAATACTTCCAAACTGCAGATGCTTTTCGTCGAGAGGGTGAAAACCTCAATGACTACGAGCAAAGACATGCTGTTTTTGTTCGAGACATCAGGAAGGCGATGCTAGAGATTGGCTGCAAGGAAACAGTTCCTACTGAGATCTATGGATGGTTTGCCATCAACAAGCTTCTTCGTCTGGACTCCACAGATGTTGCTATGGTAAAGGCCCAGGCTCAGTCGTACAAGCTTGATGATGTGATGTCTGCCATGCGAAAAATGTGGGGCGGAGACAGTTTGAGTCTTCGAGATGCAGAAAAGAAGAGGCAGGGCAACCATTCCAAGACCTTTGCGGCCATGCTTGAGCCCCCTTGTGCCTCGATAGGGCATGTGGACAATGAGGCGGCCTGGATGAACACCCATGAAGATGCTGAGCCCAATGATGAATCCGATGTTGAAGACGCACTGGAAGAAAGCCAAGCTTGGTTTGAACAAGCCACAGATGATTTGGCGGCCAGGCCCGGTGATGACCAGGTCTATGCCAACTTCCAGGAAGCCCGAAAGACTTTCTACAAGGAAGCTAGGAAGGCGCTGGACAAGCATCGTGTCTCCAGAGGATTTTATCCAACTGGTGGAAAAGGGAAAGGAAAGGAAGCATCAGGGAAAGGATTCCAAGGAAGATGCATGCGGTGTGGAAAGATAGGTCACAAGGCCATGCAGTGTCGCCAGCAAATTGGCGGTGGCTCTGGTGCAGCTGGATCACAAGGACAAAAGGGAGCTGACTCCGGGCGAGTCGGATTTGTCTTCACTACAGCTGAGGTGAGACCTGCCAAAAAGACAGTGACTTGGAGTGAAGGCAATGAAGTGATCGCGTTTCCTGTGCCGACCTATGCAGCCTTGACAGAGGAGATTCAGACTAAGGCCATCTTGGATTGTGGCGCCAGTGAGTCAATCATCGGAGCACACACTCTGCAAGTGCTCTATGAAAAGTACGCAGAACTTGGCATGGACCCAGATCAAGAGATCACCGTTGACAGACATCAGAGAAGATCCTTTGTGTTTGGAAACAATGAGACGTCCCTGGCTCTAGGGTTTGCTCATGTGTCTGCTTGTATCGCGGGTCATCGGATGAAGATTCCGGTCCACGTTG